CGAAGCTGTTGTAAGCGCCGCACAGGCCTCGGTTGGCGGTGATCATCAGGATGCCCACGTTGGTGACCTTCTCTGGCACGCGCAGCATGGGTAGCTCTGCCTCGAACCCGCTGCCCTTCAGCCGCTTGACCAGGCCCTTGATCATGCTCAGGAGCTCGTCGGTGAAAGGCCGCTGCTTCTCCACACCGTTCTGGGCGTTGCGCACCTTGGCTGCGGCAACCACTCGCATGGCATCCGTTAGCTTGGCGGTCTTGGCTACGGATGCAAGGCGATCCTTCATCGCCTTGTCGACAGCACAGCGGGCCACCACCGACTCACGGGGCTGCACAGACACGCCCGTCACAAAGTCCTCATCTGCGTGTCTCCACAGGCAGCTCCAGGCGGCCACCAGGGCCAGGCCCACGGCCACCGTGGCGCCAAAGGATCCGCGCTTGGATGCCATGATGCGCAATGCTAATCACAAAAACCCTGAGCCTCAGCCCTGCGCAGCAACCATCCCATCACTCAACAGAGCAACAAGCGTAGCACACTAGCATCCTGAATTTTCAGCACATTCCTGCGGCAGGACTGAGTCCTACTGTTGGTTCGGCCTTCTGCTGGTGTGCCCGGGAGGCAGCGCCTTGTCCGATATCAGTGCCAACGGCCAAGGGATAACAGAAACAAGGACCAGGCATTGCGCAAAGACACACGAGACACACATGTCGTGAGTTTCCAAGAATCAGGGGACTCCAAGAAGACCCGGGTGTCCAGAACTATGGGATGTTTAGGCCCCCACCATCAAAAGAAGGCTTGGTTGACTCTCATCCAATCCTATGTACTCCCCGTACGTGGGCTGCTCATATTGCTAGTCCCGCTTGGACCATCCCCAAGTACCAAGAGATTCTCGTCCTTGCCGTGAGAGAGACCCATAATCTGAAATATCCCCAGATGGGGGTTTCTCACGCTAATCTTACGAATCCGAGGAAATTTCAAACTTGCGCGGCGCGAATCATTTTCAGAAACTACAATTTTGAGCCCCGACTTAATCGCTTCCCGCCGCTGTCTGCCACTTTGCCTGTGTCCTGTTGGAGCTAACGTGCTGAATTGACAGGACGTCAGACTGCACATGACTTTCAATTTCCAAAGGCAGCCCGTTATTCCCGAAAACAAATCATACAAACCTCCTGGTAGAGCATATGTGCCTCAGGATCGTGAGAAGCAACCAGGGTCTAGCCTTCACGTTCCAAGCTGCCTGGGCAGCCGGGATGGGGTGCGCTGTCCTGGGCATGTCGAAATTCCGGGCGCTTTTAGCGCGCATGGATTTCAAAAAGAGCATTGGGAAGCGACTACAACAACCATAGCACAATTTGTGTCAGGGAACCTGCTGAGGTGGTTTTGCAGCTTGTGCTTGAAATACTTCTCGAGTGTAGGGCTCGAAAAAATGGGACTGACATGCTTCCCTACAAATGGCCAAGAACCCAGCTGAGTGGCTCATGCCATGAAGACTGGCGCCGCCACGATGCCGCCAGCGTGTGACTTACTTGTGCTTGAGCCCAACACGCGAAGTAGAAAGACGGGCTGTCAGCCCTCGACCATGCGCCCAGCAAACATAGCCTCGCACTTACCTCACCTCGTGGAGCAGAGCAAGAACAAACCTCTTCGTGCCGGTATGGATGGTAGCGAACATGCGAGGAGGCAATTCCATATGCTGAAAGGTTAGAAGATATCAGAAGACATACACCCCAAGGATTCCAAAATGCAGGAACCATGGCCTTTTCAACAATACCTTTCTCGATATCGAATCGGTATCGTCATCGAACCGATGCTATAAAGCGCCAAAAACAAGTATCGAACCGTATCGGCATCGAACTGCTACTCACCTTCCACCCCGCACCCCTAGACCCCTCCCCTACACCCCTACACCCCCCCCCACGCCCCTACTGGAACCAACTTGCCTCAGACCGGAGCTTCTGGATCTCCTGTGCAGAGCAAGGTGGAGGGAGGGGGGGGGCTACAAGCCCACAAACACACCAAGCTGCCTGCAATTGCTGTGGGCGCTTGTGTGCACGTTTACTTCTCACACCCTGAGCCAGGTTCCGCTGCATGGCTGTGTCATAGAGGACCCAGCGACCGGAACCCTCTGGGGCGAATGTAAATGGCCCGTGTCCGAACTTCACGGCGCAGGCAAATGCATATGATGAGCGCAGTACGGACGTGGCATAAAGAATGTCTGACCATTTTAAATTTGGCATACTATCTGCATTCATATCATTCATCAATATGGTAACTCACACACACACACCTACGGTAAACATATCTGCGGAGAAGTTTGCCCACTCAATGGTACAACCTGTAGGGCTGCTGGTATGAGCAACTCCGTGCATTGCCAGGACATCCCAGAGAGAGCGAGCATACCCTTACTCCGGGTGTTCCTTGCGTATGAAGGTGCAAAGCAGGCTCTCCCAGGACAAGATCTGCACAAGGTCGTAATTGCGAACGACATCTGCACTGGCCACTTCGCAAATGACCCTCCTGGCTGGCCTACCAACGCTCGTATGCAGCCAGCCCGACTTCTGGCAGGAAGAACCCTAAGCCTGACCGCGACCCAAACATACTTAGCTACTAAAGGTCTTGCACACCTCAGCTCTGCAGGAATGAATTCAAAAACTCTAGATTCTAGGTCTGCGCTCAGCAATCAGCTCAGGAAGTGCTCGAATGCTTTGCCTCCACTCAAAGGCTAAGTGCAAACTGCTGTGGTCAACCCTCGCCACAGATTAGGTTCGGTTAGGTGAGGACAAACCATCTGCCTCATCAAACCGTGGCGACAAAGGGATCTTTCTCACTCAAGGCGAGGGAGAAGGTAGCTGCTGGAAGGCTTGGGCTCAGGTCAAGCCTGACCGCAGGTACCTCGAGGGCCGGAGCAAAGTTTTCATACGAAAGTCTAGCCAAGTGCACCTTCTCTGCCGGAGCCCTGATGTCCACGCCGACCAGGCGTGTGAAGCGGCCATTGACTTTGATCCAATCACCTCCCAACTTTCCAGTGTCTGTCTGACAGTTGGTCACTTGCGAAAATGCCTCTATGAAGGCACGGGAAGCAGAGAGTGCATTTGCTGGAGAAGAAGGCCGCGCCTGGATGCAGCTTTTCAGCTGGACTCGCTTGTGACGTTGCGGCAGCCTCCTCCGAACGCACGACATGCGGTACCACCCATCTTCCCATTGGGGTATAATCATTAGTGGGGTGAGGGGGTGTTATTATTGGGGTTCTATACTGTGACTCTCGCGCGGTATGTAATATAAACTGCTACGTAGGCAGGTGTTTGGCTCTCTGTCGCTGAGCCTACACTTCCTGATAAAATGAGGCTCTGCCCTAGCACGTCTCCCCCTTGCTGCCCCATCAGGCCTGAATCCTGAATGAGCTCCTACATGTTTGTGCGACAGTTCCTTCCCTTCCCCTATACACCCTTTTTATATTATATGTGTATATATTTATATATCCGCAATTAAGAGTACTATGGGAGAGTCGTTCATCACTACCAGAACTCTGCTGCAACGTTGTTGCCGATTCTCGCTCTGGTTCCTCATCGGTTGCCACCAGGAACTGCTGTTGGCGGTCTACGCGAAGCAGCCTCAGCTGTGGTCTGCCAGAGTTGAAATTAATCTAAGATAATCCGAGCATTTGGAGCTGAGCATATGGATTGCACAAAGGGTTCTGATAGGGCTTGGGAACTTTGGATTGAGCTTACCAGCAGTCATGCCGTTTGGGGCCATGCTTTTTGCCGACTCCAAGTTTGAGGAAATATGTTGGGGTCTGGTAAAGGGCAAAGGTGCACAGCATCATTTTTCCTCGATTTCTGCAGCGCTTTCAAAACTCTGGTGACCCTGGCTCCAAATGACTTGACTCCTGTAGAAAGGAGACTGGCTCAAAGTCTTTGCCTTCAAAGTAAACGCCCGGCAAATCCACATGTGGGAAGGGTGCGTCTGGAATAGGCTTGCCCAGGAAGTGGGCCAGCGAGGCCCAGCCATCGCTGAAGTTGTACCTTACGGTGTCACGTTTTTCAGATTCCCGTGGAGGATGATTGCATGGCTCCCTTGACATGATGACGTCGCCTGAATTTAAGCTTCCCTGAAACCCCTAGAACCTTGAACCTACAAGCACTGATCCCCCGAGAAACACGAGGAGGCGATTTGGCGGAATCACCTGCTGCACCCGCTCGTTGTGATCTTGGTATGCCTGGCACTGCATAACAGTACATGGTGCCGTGACAGAAGCCCCTACAGTACTGTGCTGTTGCAGTGGTCACCGACGCACGAAAGGAAGTCAACATCTTGCCACACAAACACCTGGGCCCTCGTCACAGGCCTCCAGGCACTGTTTCTTACTCTCCTCGGTGGCATTGCCGAAGAAGTCACAGCCCCAGTAACGAGCTGCGGTGCACTTCTCCAGGTAAGGAGGCTGGGGCGGATCAGGCATAGCATGCGCCAGATTTGTGTAGCTCTCATACCACTTTTCCGGATCTAAAATTGTCAAAATAAACTTTGATTTTGGGAAGGCTTGGAGGATTTCCTCATAGACCAGCTGGAAGGGCTCGTCCATCGCAGCATCGTATCCCTCTAATGTAGCAAGGGCATCTTCAAGCGGCCCCCCGGCGTACAAGTACTCACACCAAGGGGTCCGAACGGCAAACTCATACCCGCTGTGAAGCGTCTTCAAACCAAGCATTCCCAAAGCAGCGTGCATGGTCTGCGTACCTTCACTGCCATGCAAATCCACGTGGGGGAGTTCCAAAAACAAAGACATCAAACCCGGGAATTCCAAAAACTGAGTGAGATTCTTAGACGTCCTAAGTCTAGACTGTGCGCCTGTGCGCGGTGCACCCACGTCCAGCACTTCCAGTGATGTGGTGGAAGAGACCATGCCAGAAATTAGCAGAACAGTGACAGGCGACATGGCCGTTGATCGTTTGTATATAGAAAAGGTTCGGTACTGAGAAGTTTCAGCTTGAGCCCAAGCAGCGGTGTTGTGGAACCTGTTCCTTGTGACTACACAGGTAGCGTCTGGACTGCGAAACGAATAGTCGGGCAGTCCCAATAATTGTGCCCCGAGTTCAGTTGAGCAAGAATGCTGCCACATCGGAGGCACCACAAGGGGTAGGGATGTGAAGAAGAGAGTGCTGGTGCCAGCACAGGCTGGGCCAAAGCATACAGGTTCTGAATACGCACTAGAAACCCAGCGCATGAATGCATCCAGGGCACCGATCCCCTGTCCACAACTCTACGATCTCATCGGAGCTCTGCACCTCTGGGCCATCGAGGACCTGCAAAAGCTCGGCAAAGATCTAAGAAATTTACAACTCAGCCATGCGTGCATCAACAGGTCAGCACTGCTTGCTACAACCGCATTGCACATCAAACTGGTCAAAGTGGCCTCCAAAAGTGTCTGATCATCTGAGGCCACTATCTGGGCACCTTTCCGCAGGTCCTTGGCCTCAGGGGAATCATATCTTAAACTGCGAGAGACTTTCTCGACCATACAACGAGTAAACACCTCACAAAACGTGTTTGCTCCCCCAAGGTTTGGTAGCACCCAGCTCGCCTGCAGGTATTCAAATGCCTGCCCGACCTTGGCCTTGAGCATAGTCCCGGCCACGAAGACGCTGAAACCACTGTTTGGCACGCAAACCTGAACATTTTCACAAGCCTGGAACCTGCCTCGTGAAGCTGAAACCGCGTGCGCTGTTGTGCAAAGAAGACTGTGCTTTGCCTGTTCAACAATGACGTCAACTGGTTGCAGATGGTTGCAGAGTCTGGGATCTTGGCCCCGCGTCTGGGCAAAACATCTTTAACTTTCTCAGCCCCATGGCCAACTCATAGCGGCATAGCGCATGAAGCAGGGTCAAACTCTATAGCGGACTTGAGCAAGCAGCAAGTAGTGATTCTTTGCAGGGTTGAGGCGGTTGAGGACTTGGCTGCCAAGATGCCCAGGAAGAAACATCGCTGGCTGCGTCGCAATCTCTTGCAGATGCACTTGGTGGCATCTCAGAGTAGCTGTCTAAGCCTCACAGGTAGCACATGGTAGCACATGTTCATGCTTGTCTTACTGCTTTTTTACAGCCCGGCAGCCTCGAAGTTGTTCAGCCTCCTCCTCCTCTTCCAGTTCACGCACGGCCAGGCTCTTGGCGTAGAGCTGTTGCAGGAGGCTTCGCTGATTTAGCACAGCATTCTCCCGCTGGAGCAGTGCCTGAGATGGTCCATAAAAGCTTCATCCACACCTGGCGCCTTTGCAGCAGTCAAAGCCCAAAAGTTGGCAGGTTCTTCGCGGTGATGATTCAGGTCAAAAAAAGCACCCCCTTTTCCTGGCATGTACAACACCTTTCTAGCTGGGTCCTTGTTTCTCTGAACTTCTTCCAGCAGCAGCAGCAGCAGCAGCAGTGTCGAGCCGATTCAGCCACACGTTCACACACCACTTCTGTTGATCCCGTCTCTTGCACATACTGATGCTACAACAGACCAAAAAGTCGAGCAAAACCAGCGTGGAATCCCTTTAGAATCCCTGTCGCATGTTCAGGGCGCACGTGGTGACTCTGGCAGTCCAGGCACGTTCTCCACCCTCAGCTGCTCCAGCGCAGCATCATGCGCTAACCGCTGGCTCTCCAGGCAGTGCTGAGCTTGATCACGGCCTGGGATATCCCTTTTGTACAATGTGTATAACATGCAGTGGTTGCATGTGCCATATCGCAAGAACAGAAACTGGAAAAAGGCTGACCTTCGATTGGGCCGGGGTCCCTGCTTCTGTGCCAGAGTGTACTTGACACTAGCGCAGAAGTCAACGAATCAATGAACTGATTTTGCTATGCGCGCCGAAGCGCTTGCCAGCAGCAATTCTCATCTTTGATCAATGGAGCAGTGGGGCATACATGGGTCAGCACAAATTGACAGGCCCTACTGGTCTAGTCAGTGATGTGCAGGTCCTTGCACTTGTCTAAAGACTGCAGATGCCTTCGCAGTACCTTTACGGGAATGTGTGACAATTTGGGTTGAAAAGCGTTCATGTTGTCAGAAAGCCCACGACTTGCACAAGACAGCAACACCAGTCACTGCCCTCAAGGAACTGGACTCAGCTGCTCTGAGCTGGTGCTGGAGGTCGGCACACCTTGGATCTCAGCCCAGCGTTGTCTCCCAGCACACCGCAATACTGCGGCCTGTGCGGATTACATGATTCTCAAATGCGCGGGGCAGATGCCAAATATGGACCCAAATGTTGGCACATATCATGGTTGCAATGCAAGTCCACAAGGCGATCCCGTTTAGCCAAAACCATTACATACTTTACTACTTCACCAGTAATTGTCAAGAAAGGTCCTGTTGACTAGCAAACTGCATGAATACATCATTGACGGACACAACCAGGTTGGCTTGCAGCAATGAAGCCGCCGCTCCAGAGCCAAGTTGGAATGATCCTTCTCTGCCTTCCAGCAGCATGGACGGAGGCACGTTACAGCGGGGTTGCTGCTTGAGATAGCAAATCGAGAATCTATCATTGAGCATCCACAACGTCTCGGAGGCCTGCGCCTTGAGAAGGTACTCCACCTGAGGCGCTGTGCTGACATGGGCCAGGGATGCCGTTCTCTGAATAGATGGCTGGTTTACAGTATACCTCATGACTTGTCTGGTACAAGCTGTCCCTGATAAGTGCGGATACCGCGGTTTTAGATTAGGATAGGAAGCTCAAGCCAACAGACAAGCAGCGCACCTGGAGACCTTTAAAACTGAATGCAACTGAAGGTTACGAAAACAAGGGCACATACGGAAATCGCGCCATGCATGCAAGACACTGTTTCTTTCATCTCAGCTTCCCGGGACTCCGCGTCTGCGAGCTGGATCTCCAATCGCCGGACTTTCTCTTGAAGTCCGTCCTTTGAATGTTTCTCTCAATGTGACACAACAGAGCCGCTCTGAGCAGGATGTCCTCTGCCGCCTTAGAATCGGCTTGCGGGGCCTCCAAAGCCAACAGATCTTCATTGTGCATGAGAGAGCATTGGCCCGCCAGGCAAATCTGAAGCCTGCGGCTCTGGCAGCTCTTGGGATTGCAGCTCCTCTAGCCGCAAGAGCCTTAGGTCACAGAGCTTGGATGTCAAGGTCTCGCCGCAAGTGAGGGTTTGGGGGTCCGTGGAGATGGACTCGGTACACTGTAACACAACAGGCCAGGTGCAGTTTTTGACGCGCGTCGCGAAATTCTCCCAAGGCCTGGCTGAGAGAAAGCTTCAGTCAGTAAGCAGCAACAGCAACAACAAAATCGCACCAACGTCGGTTCAAGTGAGAACCACTGCGGCAGGCGACAGCATGCCATCACTTGCAGCCGAAGGAAAAGTCTGCCCTAGTGATCTACTCACACCACTGTTCCACAATTTGGGCATTCAAGCACCTCGGAGCAACGTCTGCCGGCAAATCCCAGCTCCTGCCATCCGAGTGCAGTGCTCTAGCTGCTGCTGCACCGCATGACTCAGCGCTGCGAAACTGAAGCCCCTAGCTGATGAGTCTCTTACTCAGCTTGAGAGGAAAGATAAGGGGCATTCTATGGTTGACAAATCTGGCGAAAAAACGCCAGAAGACAGTTCGGCAGCCCAAGGCCCGCCTCATCGATGTAGAGGCCTTGCTGGTGAAAATGCTGAGGAAAGCATGAGTTCAGCCAGCTGGCCTCAGAGAAAGCCAGCTCAAGCAAACATGATCTGCACAAATATTGCACGAAGAATCTGACACTGGTATCCCTACCTCGAGTTCAATAGACATGTAGCGGCTAGTCAAATCCATGCAGCTGATGCCATGAGTCACAGCGAATGGTACTGGATCTCTACCACCCCTACGAGGAACAGAGCTGCGTGGCCTCCAAATCCCGCTCTGCACTGGCGATGGCGCTCTCCACCATGTGAAGCTGCAGCTGCACAGCCGGAAGGCTGGAGGGCGTCTCCAACAGTGCCATTGCATCTCTGCACTGAAAAGCAGGCATCGGTCCTTTGTACAAGAGCTGTTAGCCAGCAGGGCTTTGAGCCTGTTATACGCAACCTGTCAACAGAGTACGGCCACTGACTGTTGCGATGCAAGACATTGAGATGCGATGCGTCAACACACAGGTCATATCACACTCCTGCTGCGAGTCCGCAAGATGATGCTGCAACCTGAGTCACTGCTCAGAAGCGGCAAATCCAAGGAGGGCTGTTGGACGTCTGCTCTTCCAAGTGAAAACGCACCATCGCAGGTTGCACTGTTCAAGTGGCTGGTGCTACGAAAAGAGAATTGCTGGTCAAGGACAGACAGGCTTGTTGCACGCCAAATCGCTCTTCAACCTCTGCCTCCAGCGCGGAAGCCTCCACAAAAACAGAGCTCGACAGTCACCGCACAATGCACAGAGCAGGAATCCAAACAGAAGCTAGACTTCATCATTTCTCACTGATCCTTGCTTCTGTCAAGGCAGGCATAGTGACGTCACCAGCTTGCGAAATCGTCCGTGCAAACGCGTGAAGCTTGAAAAAGCTTACTCTTTGGCCATTGCCTTTCTCGAAAACTCGTCAACCTGACCTCGCGTGGAACATGTGGAGCAGATGCATGTTCCTGCAACTCTCACATCTCTCGCCAACGCGTACTGTACCCTGCCCTAACCGGACTCCAGACATGGGCCCCAGGCAAGTCTTCTCCGCAACCTCATGTTGAAGCTCATGCGCGTGACCCAGCTCCTCCAAAAGCAGGTTGTGCTTTGAAGGTCTAGTTTGCAAAGGAGCTTCTACTGGCCACCAACTGCAAAAACGACAACTGACACCACCTGACCACTTCCCTTCCTACATTACCTCCCCTTCATTGATATCATGTATCGGTGGACAGGAGATAACAATTTTTGGCTAGAGAGCACCTGTATCCAAGACCTCCCACTCCTGGGAACCAAGGCTTTTGCTTGGACTATCCGGCGCGCACTTCTATGTACATTTTCCGCCGGTTGGGTTTGGGAGGCTACTTGGTGACTTGGAACGCTTCCTCAGCGAGGCTGACGTCTTTGGCACAGCCACATGCTGGAGGGCACGTCACGCGTCATTCAGAGGACGTTGATGATGCCGCCACCTCATCCTTGCCGTTCTTGCCCTCCTTGTTCGGGTTCAAGAGCAAGTCGAGCAGTGGCAGCCCCTCACGGCTTACTTGCAGAAAACGTTTGAAAGAGCGTCGGGTGCTTTGTCATGTCAGCGTGCAATTTTTCAGCGGCTCTACAGCTTCCTCCGACATTTGCACTGGCTGTTAGCTTATCGAGCAGCGCCCACAGCTGTGCAGCCCAACAGCCTCCTGAATCATCTGCTCCCGCTCAGCAGCTACCCTGTCCAGAAGCGCTGGGATGTCTGTGCTCAGCGCCTCCTGGCAGCGTCTCTAAAGCACCCACGAGGCTTGACCCCTCGCAAAACCATTGAGCATACGGTTCCCCGTCATCAGGACTCTGTTCAGCCTCGGCCTTCTTCAGGAGCTGTGATGGCACCTCCTGCCAGGGCGATGCGAGCTGAACAGCAGTTCGGAGGTTCCGTACATAAGAGACCCAAAAAACACAACTGTTTACTAAAATCTGTCTTGGGGCCAAAACGCAAGCCTCAACTTCTGAAAACTTCCAGAAATGGATTGTAGCGGGATAATATTGAAAATTATTCAGGCTGCTACATTACAGCAGACTCGGGGGCTTCTCAAGAGCAAGGTCCCAGTCATTTATCAGCATATCCGCCTCCCCTGGAAGCAGCGTGATTCGATCTACGTCATGAAACAGGTTGTGTAGAGGTGTCTTACTTACGCTTCTTGGGAGACACCAGGGATCACGATCCTGCGGTATGGTGGCACGAAGATCATGAAAAGATAGCATCCCCATTACTGAGCTCCCCAGCACCAGCCGACAATTACAAAAGGTGCTGGCCCGCGTCTGGAAATTCACCTGTTGAGCTGGCTATGGGACATGTTAGAACCAAACAGCGCGAAGACAGCACTTCCCAAACAGGCTGTCACTATTGGCTCGCGCCCTGTGGGCTGCCGCACGTGCCACGAGGACGAGAACAAGATCTCCAACCTCACAACCCCGCGTAGCCCCTTGGTTGCTTCCAAGTCCTGCACTGGCGCATCCCCCAATTTCAGGAATTGCGCAGTCCTGGGGGTCTGCGCAAGAAGGACTTTTCCAAGGATTGCTCACATGCGCAGGGTTGCTTGCTTATTCTGGCTACTTACATGGTTCAAAGCTTGAAGGAAAAGAGCCATTGGCTTTGGTTCGGGGCTGGGTCCCAGGTTGGAGAACAGTTGCAGCGATTACAGTTTACCGAGTAGACGTCCTTGTAAAGTGCCTCTTAATCCCCACAAAAAAGCCCTCCTGGAGACAAATGTTTCGGAACAAGGGGCAATTTGGCCTGACCGTAAACCAGCACAAACCCCGGAGTTGTTTCTCTTCATAGCTCATCATACCACTACCACCAGATCTGGGTTGAATCTCTTCCCTCTCGCCATGGTTGACTACCGTTGTCAGAGACTTGCAGTAGTCGGAAGACTCCATTCGCCCAAGCCTGAACCTGTTGAGCTTCTGTTGCATCCTAGTCTACAAAAGGCCGTGTAGGGCACCCTTTTCCTATGACACCGCAAGGCATATGATGGACAAGAAGAATGTATGGTGTGTAGCTCTGGGCTAGCCTGGATGAGTGATCAATCAGGACATTGAATTCTCAAAGGTGCCCTCTTTTCGATCTGAAGCTTTCCATGCCCAGGCGCAGAGCAGCGGCTGAAGGGAAGTCTTCCAAGGGAATGCCGCTCGTCTGCCAAGAGTCGGCTTAAACTGGTCATGGAGACCATCTTGAGGAACCTAGAGGGCTTTGGCTATCGAAGTCCAAATGCTCACAAAACATCCGCTAAAGCGCACGCCGCAGCCTCAATCTGCTCATGACCCTAGATTATTAACTAGCTTCTATTTAGCAAAACGTGTCTTGCGCCCTCGCAGGGAACTTCCAAAAAATGTTTCCCAAACGGCTTGAAGGACCCATGACAGAGTCGAAGGCAAAACCCGAACTGTATAAGAACAGCCACGCAGGGCCTGTGCTACTTTCGCACACTCCGCCGCCAACTTCACCTCAGACAGGTGAACATACTACCTGCTTTTATGTGGGTGGTTGTCAAAATTATGGTCCCTTTTTGGGTCCCTATTATAATAATTAAGAACCTAATATTTTGGGTACCCAAAGGGACCATAATTTTGACAACCACCCATGTACCAGTCTTACATACCTCATCTGCTGCACCAGGCCGCGTGTACGCATCTGAGCTATGGCGCTCTACACTCACTCCGTCCACACTTGCTTGGATACAGCTTATGTCTAGGATAGAGCTTCAGGTTCCCGGCATCTACCTGGCAAGGCCGGCAGCAGGAATGAGCAGGCCAGGGTGCTGGGTCCGTGATGGTTTCTTTGAGGACCTGCAGGCGGTGCTTGCAGCAACTAACCGGACGACAAAGTTCTGCCCAAGCAAAGCCTGATTTTCCAGACTGTCGGCTCCCCTGGATTTGCATGACCTGCCTTCCGCCGACCAAAGGGCCCACGCAAATCCAGCAGCCGCTGCACCTTTGCCACAGCTCACTCTGAGTCAAAGCATCTTCAGGTCCCCAAGCAAAGAAGGCCTACAAGTTGTGTGCGCGTGCCCAAGCCTCCACGCAACTGGCGTACAAGCGCTCCTTATGATATAGTAGCTTCCATTTTCTTGTCCATTTCCCTACTATAATCCTCCATATAACCTCTATATAACCCCATAATATAGTAGCTTGTCCTTATTATAATCCCCAATCCCATAAATTCCTCCTTTCATCCCTACCCCGCGCTTACCTTGAAGAGCATGAGGTTGTAAGAAATCGGCCCAGCAAAGTTACCCTCTAATCCCCCCTAATGCTATTAGGGTTATAAAGGGGCTATAAGGCATCATGATGGAAAATCAAATGGAAAAGAAAATGGAACATGAAATGGAAACAACCTAATTTCAACCCCCCCACCTCCCCTAATATTAGACACTCCCATCATGTGGTAGATTATATAGTATATTCGGGAGTATTTAGCGGGAGGGGATTACTATAGGTGGCTCCGAACAGTTCCATCATATCGAAGCGGTGAGGAGGCCGCGCAACAAGACCCGAATTCGCGATGGCATCCCTGATGTATCCCCCTGAAAGGGCGTCTGTGCTGCAGGGAACTCAAAACTCAACCTGAAGTTTTGCTGGATTCTTGGCTTGCTTCGGGGAGCCAGCAGAGCGTGACACCGTAGCAGCCGCCCCCTTCGCAAGAGGTCATTCACCTGGCAGCAACATGAGAATGAGCCAGGGAACTATGCTAAGAGAACCCTCAGGTTGCTCACATGTCAGGTCATTGATTGACAGCTCGGACCTGCCGCATGTGTACTGCGGCCATCCGAAAGGTAAAGATAGACTGTAAAATACTACATCAGCCTTGCAGCCAAACATGAAGCAAGAGCCGCAGCAACACCTCACGTGGAGGGGTACGGAGAAGCTGTAACAGCAACCAGCAGGACCGCAGATTCTCAGGACGGCAACTGCATTCGCAACTGTTCATCAGCCGATAACCTGTTGGCAAACCAAAAAAAATCCCTCTCGTCGCCTTGCGCGTGGTGTTGTCCAAGGGCACTTGGAACAGCTCTTGTCCTGGGTTTGTTGACACGTAAAAATGCTGTGAAGCGGTGCCATCCCAGCGTCACCACTGACTACTAGCAACCAATACTTTACGTTGAACACAATAACTGCGCTTATGCATTGCGCTCTTTTTTGCTTCTGGACCTGTTCAGGCGCCAGAACGCCGGCTGAGAAGGCCATATCAAGCACGCCATTGAGGCATAATCAGGTTGCTCCCTACGGCCTACGGACCAGTTTAAAGCACAACTGCCTCTGCAAGCACTCATCAGTAAATCAGGAACAAGGACGATTAGTGCGACTTGCAGGCTGTTTGCCAAGCGTCTCAGTCGGGCACCTTCTCCCTGAAAGAAGGAAAGTGCCTCAACGCATCGTTGCTGGATGACAACTCGAAGTGCTCACAGAAATAGCCCCAGACCGACGACCACTAAGACTAACACTTTTGCAGTTTGGCTTTCAAGATTGTGGTCGCTTTTGGGCTACTCTTCTCTACGGACTTGAATATATTCTGGAGAAGCTATCAGCAATCACGGCAATCCCTGAAACCGAAGGATCCAAGTCATCCTCTCATGATAAGCCCTGATCCTGGGAGTCCCACACACATCCCAAGTATGGGTCCTATATACGTATATGTACTTATGTGTGGGACCTCCAAATGTATATATGTAAATGAAAATATATGTCTGTATGTATGAGGTAGCCCATGGTATCCTAAACCCTGGCGTTGATTCATCAGCCTCTTCCGACAGCTCCAGGCGCTGATCCGAGGCGGGGCTCAAGAACACGTGGGGCATTTCCTAGGGATGATATGGGTGGTTGTCAAAATTATGGTCCCTTTTTGGATCCCTATTATAATATGGCACCTAATATTTTGGGTACCCAAAAAGGGACCATAATTTTGACAACCACCCATATAACAAGCGGACTGGGTTCCCAAAATTGGCAGGTACCCCAATAACAAGGATTCTGACATTTGAGGGTCTATGCAGGGCTACGCTTGTCTCCTAGGAAGCTTACTGGCGCTTAAGGTGGAGTGGGGAACTGAACATAGGGACTATTCTAGGGGTGTATATGGGGATTATGTAGCGATGACTATGAGTTAGGTAGGGATGACAGAGGGACATTATAGAGGATCTAGAAAGCTTACGCTTTAGGTCTGGGGTCTTTGGGGGAGGATGACAAGTAATCAGGTTTCTTCTTGAAGTTGCTTCTGCGTTGCAGCTGCGTGCGACGATACTGCAGATCGGCAATGTAGACAGACTTCAGGGTGCTTGGGGCCAAATGCTTGATAACTAACAGGGAAGGGGAACAGAATCTTGGTGAGCTGTACTCCTGCAATTTAACCCCCCCCTCTCGTGCGCGTTGTTGCCTCTAAGTATCTGCCTCCACTTCCAAGAAGCCCGAAGTCTCGGCCAAACCTCTACAGCATGAGAAGCACCTCGTAATCTCACGAAAGGCTTCCTTGCTGGGGCCTGAGAATGCCAACAGTGCAGACCTGCCTTCTCTTCGCAATTTAAGCAGCTGGCCCTGTCACTGCATGAGGCACAAGGATCGGTCATGGCTATCCTTTACCCGTTTAGGCTGGCCAGGAATCTGGCGTGTTGATCACTTTGGACAACGACCACATCAGCGCCCCGAAGACACGTGCAAGCTCAAACCGGTCCAGCTTCTCGGCCTGCCCCCGGCAGAGGTTCAAGAAACTTCTTGAGGGTTGGATTAAGAAGGCCAAGGGCTCTACACCACTGCGGCTGAAGGCTTGACATGTTTTGATCTCTGGCTCTTTCTGCCCGCTCTCCCGCCACTGTTGCTGGATGGTGGGCCACGAACGTTGAGATTGGTGAGCAAAGGCATGGCCAGACTGCTTATGGCGGTTGACTTTTGCATAAAGCTCCGATCTACCTTCCAAAAGCAGACTTATGGGGTTTCCCAAAGAATTGGGGGCCCTTTAGGGGAGTCCATATACTAAGAGCATATGTCTATATTGCGGCGCTCTTTTCATGGAAACAACTTATCTTGGAGTTTGGGACACTCTGAAGCGCGCCTTGTTCAATACAAAGCGAACTTTGCTTTCACTCTTCTTGCCCAAGGCTTCCAGACATCGCCGGAACTCATCGCTGATGTCCAGCCTTGGGGCCAGTATGCACCGGGCATGATTCTTGCTGGGGGTTAGTAGAGAATATCTTGGGTGATAGAGGGATAGTGGAAAAGAAAATGGAAACTACTACAGTACAATAGGGTATATATTGGCGTTATAGTAGGGAATAAGGGAAGATATTGTATAGGGGATCACATTCCCTTCTTCTCTGCTGACCATCAGGAATAAGACATGTAGGTGCTTGATGCTGACAGGTGCCCACAACCTCTGTGGAAGGACTCCAGGCCTTAAATCTGGAGACCCTCTAGATTACAGCTCCTGGATTTCGTGTGCTGTCCAGGCAGCTTGTTGGGATCAAAGAGCACGATGACCAGGTCTGCATTTTCTGCAAACCAGCCCATGACACCTGCATGCAAAGCTCAACCGTCATCGCATGGAATTCAAGATTATCTCTGGCAAGCAAAGCTACGGCCACGGACTACAAAACCGAAACCAAGTGAAATTTAGTGAAATGTCAGGTGGAAGCTGCACACCGTTTGCTCGCAAGGCTTGCCCACCCTCGAAGTCGTAGCTCCGACCCACGCGCTGCTTGTCTCCGCTAAGGACACCAGGGGTGTCCACGAAGCTGAGGCACTTCAGCACTGGTACCTGCAAGGTGAACTTACCCTGCACCAGTCACCATTTTCGTAGCAGTCTGGAAGCCCTGCACTCTGAAACACTGCCAGTGCCAGGACCCTGGCCTCTTCCTCCGGCATCAGAGCGCCCTCAAAGCGCTCAAGGAAACGGCTTCCAAAGCGCCTGAGATACCACGCACACCTCCCAGGAACTTCCAAAGACCAGGATTGCTCCCTGAACTGTGCTCAGCTGGGGAGAGGCCTTTCGCCGACCAGGGTGTATGAAGTCCAACTAGAAACGCAGACACCTGCCTGTTAGCGATTGTCGATTAGACAAGTGCATTTTGTGCCAAGTAATCCAAGCAACTGCAGCTGCCCAAACGGCTGCGAGGGGTTGCTGCAAAGCGCAAAGCCTGCGTGGTAGCATTCTGTGTTTTTGCTCGCTGAGCTGAAGCTTTTGAGGATTCTAGGTGTTGGGGTTTGCATTTCAGGGGTTTGGGTTTTGGGCTTGGGGTTTGGGCTGAAGAGTTAGCATTCAGGGTTGAGGATTGCCCGTACCTGTGGGTTTCCATGATGGGTGCCTGCCAGTGTAAGGGCCACGGACTCTAACATTTAGTGGCCCCTTAGTAACCCTAAACCCTAAATATCCCAAGATCTCCCCTTGTACTCCCATAAGCCTTGATCATCCCATAGGCCAAAGCCCTCATGCTGTGGTGCATGTGTCTGAAAAGCTTCTGAGCATCACATGACGTGCCGAAACTACCACATCTCCGTCCTGGCACCTGCTGTCGTGAAGGGCCGCCCATGATGGCCACAAACCTTGGCACAATGCCGGGGCCCTCAATCTAAAACAGTGCATGCGGAGGGCTCCGATTCACTCGGAGCGCTGTCAAACCTACTTCAGATGCACGGCAGCTACTACTTGTACCCCGAAGGACGTGGCAGCTAAAAATTGAGGCTCGGAAGAATTGAACTCTCCACAAGGAGTATCTAGAAGCCAAAACAACGTCAGGCATCAGGCCAAGTGTGTCAATGCCCTTTGATCATAGGTTGTATTCACACCTGCATAAGGTCACAGGACTCTGAATCTTCTTGGCACGCCGTGGAGCTTGTCTGTGGTGGGCTCGGGCCCTATCCGAAGGCCAGGGTACTCTGCCTGCCAGCCATGCCGTCTATCAAACATGTTCAGAAGCAGGCTGAATGCTCTAGGATTCTAGCACTTGCTTGCTGGGTTCTCTCCCCGTGCTGCTCTTGCAAACTGACAGCCATCCTCCCGCACGCCTTGAGGAGTTGTGAAATCAGCGTGCTCTTCCTTCGGCTTTCAGCGGTCTCTGCCAACACATGCTGAGCACTTCTTCAAGTAATGAAGCTGCGAGTGTTGCGCGGTTGTGCAGCATAGCTCGCGCAGGGCCCGTGCACAGGCTCAAGTGCAGGACCGCTGCTGTCACACTCTAATCAATCTCTTGCAAAACCAAACAAACATAAACAAACAACGTCCCTAGCGGTCCCGGTGGAGTACTGTCCCAGGACGAGGACCATCGGCTTAGAGGTGAAGTACGCGGCGCTCAGCTCCGCGGTGTCGTAGAAGCTCTCGAACTTCAGCTGCTCTTCCAAGGGTCGCAGCTTCTCCTGGCTCGCGTTACAATGCGTTACACCTCCACCACATCCTCTTTTACAAGACTGAAGCTGCGATTCTGCGCCCCCATGGCCTCGTAGATCATTTGGGGCGTCTTCATGAGGCCAGGGAGCTCCTCTTGCTTGCAAGAATGCCAGCGTGCCGGCCACGTCATGAAGCATCATGACACACGAGCACTCATGGTACCCCATGGGTTGCGGCCTCGTTCAACTGGTTACAGGTTTTGTGGCACCTCCCTAAAGTCCACAGAAGCACAAGAATGCCGCGGAAGCCTGCCTTGAGCCGACTCTCGCTCCTGAAGAGGCTCCGCCTCAGCAGCTGTGGCCAAGCATAGAACATAGCCCCATGCGAACGGATGCCTCTAGCCTAGGCTTTGAAGACATGAGTGGTCAGTAGACGCACTGCGTACAAGGACCCCATATGATCGACAACCCATCTCATACCAAAAATTACAACACAAGCAAAACCAGACAGGACAGCTCACTTTCTCTTCCAACGGATCATGTGGGTGACGGCCGCAGTGGGGATTCAGCTGCTGCTCATAAATGAAAAAGGTAGCTCATTTGGCTTGCGGCGCAAATTCCTGCAAGCAAAGAGAAACTCTGACCACAAAAATGCTGTCTCAAGCCGCCGGATCCTCTCGCCCAACTGACGAAGTCCACTGCTGCGCATCGCATATCTCCATCGCCTCCTGAACTCCAGTTACTCTCGAAACTGGGGTCTGGGTCATGAGGGCTCTCCTGACATGCACTTGACAAGCTTGAGAGCAGCTATTTTTCAACAGGCACAGGCCCTCGTTTTATTTGTTGTTTAGGAATCCCAGCAAGCTCTTCCTCACAGAACTGAACTCTGAAACCAACACAACATGCAAGTCGGGAAGAGCAAGTGACCTCGCGGGTTGTTGCTGCGGCCTGGCAGATACAGCCAGCACCAGGGCTGGATAGGCGAGGCCACCAAAAGCCCTGAGCCGGGTGTGTTCTGGGGATTATTCGGTTCAAGCAGGATTTCCATGTCAGGCGCACCTCTGTTGCTTCAAAGACTTTCAGCAACCCGAACCAACAATTTTTGGAACGTCCTCTCCCTTGCATGGGCTCGTGTCGCCAGGGAAGGACTTTGCCTGCGCTTTTCAGCCGCGCGCACGCGGTGGCCCGGAAGCACAGCAGAGCCCACGGAGCACCCGTGAGGCATCCGAGGCATTGGCCACATGGCTCTGGTGGTACACGGGGTTGGCCACATCTCCTAAAAGTTCAACATAAACATCCTGACTTGAAGGTTGGAGTGTACTTTACAGCTCCCAGGCAAGGATGAAAAGTCTGGTGCTAGAGAGCCTGCTGCAAGTGCAGCGTGAGCAAGTTTTTTTGGAGCTTCGGACTGGGGTCGGTGCCGGCAAAGGAGCAAGTATTTCTGCTGTTTACGCACCAGTCTTGGCTTTGTTTGAGGGCATCTCTTGATCGTGCACGTCTGGCAGCAAGGCTTCCACATCACTCTTGAGCGACCTTTGAATTTGCAAAGCGCCACATCCAAGCGGCAAATGGAGAGAAATTGATTCTCTAAAAACATCTGAGCAGCTCCTTAAGCAACCAGAAACAAAAAAGGCCTACGGTCAAAGTATGAAGTCTTCCTTGCTCGTTTACGGTACTTGCCTTACATTGACAGGCACTGCCTTCGTGGAAGATTGTGGAAGCCCCAGGTTACAAGCCCACAATTCTTGCCAAGGTGGCTGCGCATCTTGCAATGTCCTCCTCCACATCTTTCAGGCGCTTCTCCAAGGCATCCCGCCCGCGGCGCAGCTCCATGAGCTCAGCATCCTGGCTTCGTTTCCAGGCCCATGCTCTTGTTGCCAGACCAGCAGTGTCATGCGATTTCCAAACAAAGGTGCTTATGTACCATGGTCCTGCATTATGGGCATGCCTCCTGATAAATCTTGTTCGGAAATTCCAGGCCGCCTGCTGCTGCAGCTGCCGGGCAATCCCATCATGTGCGAGATTGAGCTTCTGCATAGCCCTCTGAGATGGAACCTCGGCACATGCTAACCACCCGCATCCGCATGGCATGGCGCAAACAAGAAACATCTTCTCAAGGCCATTGTCACCGATACTGCGTCCATCTTCATTTGGAAAATGATGCACGCAGTCAGGCCACTTCAAGATGCGAAGCTTGTCCTTCCTTCAATCAACTGACCTTCTGTGTCTAGATCCTGTCCGCATAAGTCATGAGCAATGCCGGTAACAAAGCAGGCGCACGCTTGGAGAAGACGACCGAGGGCTGGGCATCCCCGGAAGCGTCTACTGCCCTCCGCATCAGCTCCGTTAGCTCCTTCGACAACTGACAGAAGGGAATGGGAGCGAGTTCCCAGGTGCAAACATATTTAATGAGCTGCCCACATAAGAAGTCCAATCCTCACAACTAAAGGCCGTTTGCAAGCTCCTGCGCACGAAGGATTTCGGAAGAGGGGCCCACACCGAGAGAGTCCTGCCACACATGTACATTTATGGTGCGAGCCAACTGCTATGGAGTACTGGGCTTGCCAGTCAGGAAGCTGTGATGATAGATCGCTGTATGGAACACATTGGGTCTGGTAGCCCATGTCCCTGTGCAGAGTCGCTGGGCTCCGAAGATCTCCCACACAGAGGCTGCCTTAACGCTGAGGCTTTGGACACATCAAACCATCCGGCATGCTTGGCAAAAGCTTGGATGAATCTGAGCTTTCTTTGGGCTTCCCGGCTCCGTCGGTGGTAGTTTTGCCTCGTGTAGGGCGCCTGCTTGTACTAACAGGTCACTGCTACTACCAGCCCTTGGGGCAGGAGAAACTTTAAGTTGGGCATGTGGATGGTTGGCTCGAAGGCAATTATATCAGAGTGGAAGGAATTCAGTGTGACTAAGACGAGGTGATCGTCAAAAAGTTGTAAAACAAGTTGTTCAAGGATGAGTTGTAGCCCTTACCCAACCTGCGGAGATGTAGGAGGCGAGGCCTCAGCCATTGATAGCAGCCAGCACTTGCGCGGACTATTTGGGCAGCTCTCGTCAGGTCATGTTGGTCAATATAGCGAACTGTGCGACTGGCCACAGCTTGGAGAATTCCAAAGCTTCATTGATTTATAGCTTGGCTTCTCCCCAGCATGCCAAGCTCTGAAGTGCCGGTTCTGCAAGCACCCCCGCTTCTGCAAAGTCTTTAAGACATTCCTTCAAACCCAAGGACCCCGGCAGAGTCGAATCCTGCTTTCTCCGCCTGCCGCAGCTCGGTCCTGCAAAAGAGCTTTTGGGTCGCTTGGGTAACTTCTGGAGGCCGTCCCGGGTGGACTTTCTTAGGATCAAAGCCTCTAGGTGCAGTGACCCAGCTCTGCAGTGCTGATGTGATCGCGTGAGTGGGCGAGGATTGCGTGTCAGGGCTTGGCTAACATCTACTAATTACAGCTTACGACGTCTTTCAGCGCATTAAATTGAGGCCATTACCTAGAGACCTTCCAAGGAACATGCCACAATGGAGAGGCCCACAAAAAACAGAAGCCCGCACACCGTCACGAGGAATTGAAGTCATGCCCACGTTTAGCTTCTGAAGCAAGTCCAGCCTCTCAAGCCCTCGAAACCTTAGACTTAGACTCGAGCGTGGCGGTCTTCAAGCTGAATCTGGGGCTGTTCGACTCCGTGTTTGCCAGGCCCTGGTAGGATGTCAGCTCGCTGACGGCCTGGCAGGGGCGCTAGGCCGAGTGAGAGCTCTTCCGAGTCAGGAGAGTCAGGAGCCTCGGCTTCCTCCTCCTCCTCTTCCTCCTCATCTTCATCCTCCTCCTCTTCCCTGACCACGTCTGTCCTTTGCTCAGCAAAAGGAGCAGGTCATCAAGGAGTAGACTTGAGTAGACTGTTGCACACGGCTATCCTCCAGCTAGATGAAGCCATGGCTCCTTACCATTATTATTGCTGTTATTTGTATTGCTCTATTATTAATATTGTGGTTAAAATATTTACTCGCTGCAATATCATGCAATATCGCTCCTCTCCAGCTGCCTCTAAGGCCGGGGCAACCAAACGCACACTGCCTGGCATCTCTAAAGTCACGATGAGTAATAAGAGCAGTAATAATAATCATGGTAATACTACAGATCATAGTAATGCTAATAACAGTAATAACAATGATAATACCAACAAGCAAGAATACGGATAATTGTAGTAATAAAAACAATAACTGTAGGAATACGCATATAAATACTACTAACTACTAGTCATGATAATCATAGTAAGACCTCACCAAAATGATCAACATGCTAGTACTGACCCCGGCTTTGCACTGCATGCTCTCCGCCTGCTACTGCGACCGACATCCCGCTACAGAAGCAGCGTGCGCAAAATCAAAACGCAAGCCTCCCAAGTATCAACCACATCCCACCCAGTTTCACTTCCATTGAGAAAAAAACATCCAGAGATTCCGGGGGGCCATGACCCCCTGTCCCACGCCTAACCTATCGGCGGGCACTGCAGGCTGCACATTGCACATTTTGCGAAAAGGGCGTCACACGTTTGCCAAGCCTGACAAGCTGCACGCCGCTACCAGCTAACCAGGACCGTCCCCGCAGCAGGAAATGATTAAAGCTCCTGCTGCTCTTCGCTCTCCTTGTGGTAAGTGTGGAGAATGAAGTCCAAGGTCTGTTGTGCCAAGCTTCTGACCGGCGCCTCCTCCCAGACCTTTGCCACGGTGAAGTTCTCGGTCACGCTAATCAAAGCGGCAGCGAGGCCCCGTGAAGACAGTCCAGCATCCTCTGCTCGGAGGTCGCCCCCGTAGTGAGCGTACTCAAGGGGCGCAGGCTCGCCCCAAAAGGAAACGTTGGCTCCGTGCACATGGAACTCGTCCCCAGCACCGGCGACAGCTTTGAAGGCTGTATCCAATTCTAAGGCCTGCTTCACATCTGCTGGAAAGACTATCAGAGATAGCATGGAGCCGTACCCATGCAGAACGTCATGACGAGGGAAGCGCTGCCCCATCTCCAGGGCAGCAGCCGATGTAAGCCAAAGCATACGCAGCATTTTGACACGGGCGCTAATACTTTAAGGTGAGCCACTGAGCCCTTTGACTTGACTGTCCTTTTCTAAACTGATAATGGTCGTTCAAATGACAAATCTGTCAGCATTTCCATCAAGCTACAAGCTATGCTGCATGATCCTTAATATTTGCTGGTGGTGCTTGTTAAGCCTGGTTGTTGACCAAAGGCAGCTTTCCATATCGCTTGAGCCAGAACAAGCCAGCCGCTTACCTTCACAGTGGCATCTTCCTCACCCACCAACCTGCTGCAGGCGGCTGTTGTGCCCCAATTCCAACCAACAATTGTCCTTAAGTGCGGGCCCCTGAAAACGCAGGCTCTGTTCTGGACTGTCTCAATATGTGCGGTAGTCAAGGCAGCAGTTTACAGCACTATGGAGGGGCCTGCGAGGCTAGGGGTGTGCAATGGCAAGCCCGGCTTCAGGCTTCATGAGAGGGTAATATGTAAGCCTGGATGTATAGCCCTATAAAAACCCCTTTAAATCCCCCTATTATAAACCCCCTATAAACCCTTTTAAACTTTAAACCCCTATTTACACCCCTTTGAACTTCCCTTCTGAACCCCTATCTCAACCCCTTTCTTTTCACCCTGCCAACCTCCGCCACCTCGGCCAAGCTTAAGCCGAAGCCTCCTTCGCAGGGCACAGCCTGGCACTCAACTGCGTGGCTGTTAAGGAACTTAAATTAAGGGGTTATATAGGGGCTATATGGGGATAATGGAAAAGAAAATGGAAACTACTATTCTGGGTTTAGGGCTTACGTTGCCATATTATCCCCCAATAATGGAGAATCAAATGCAATAGAACATGGAAAATGAAATGGAAACAAGGGTTGAAGGTTTAGGCTTGCTGTTAAGGAACTTAAATTAGGTTGCCATAATGGGTGTGTATATATATATGATAATAAGTACGAGGGTTCCCCAATGTAGTAACTTATATTAAGTTCCTTCACAACCTCCCAGTCAATTGTGTGTTCAGGAGTGCAGGGACTCGCGAAAGGCAAAGCTTGGAGGAACGCCAGCTCTTTCAAACTGATTTGGTGGATAAACCCACGATCAGACCTGCTCAGTAAATTCCATCGTGGGTGCCTGCATTACTTCCTCCCAGTATTTCGGATCGTCGGATGCATCCCGGATCTCAGCCAACAGAGCCTGCAAGCGCACGAAGCTTCCTAGGGCCACCGATCGTCACCTTCACTATCCTAACTCTGGAGCTTGTTTGAGGGATGCATGCAGCATACTCATGGAAACCAGCAGCGGCACCCCCACAAGGCACATTCCAATGATTGGTTGAAAAAGCACTACCTAGAAAGACTGGTTTAGGTTGCTCAGACAGGCCTTAAGCTCGACAGCTGAGATTGCATCTTTGGATCCATTTCGCCACAAGTCCAAGACCTTGGTTCCACATGCAGAGTCAGGCCACTTGGCCATTTGGTGCTGCCATGGGCCCGGCAAATGCTCGGTGACTCAAGCGAATTGCAGCAAGGCTTGGATGCAGGGGCATCTTCCATGAGTCGCCGGCGCCATCTAAAAACCGCCGCATACCCCGCAGCGTGTCCTGTCACACTCGCAATAGCCATCAGTCATGGGCAACAAAGCAGGAAAGTAGCGTGTGCCAACAAACGTGACCCTTGCCTTGAAAGCCAGAGTTGTCTTGGCCTCATTCAGCCGCTTCAGTATATCCTTGCAGCACCCGTGACCATTGCAAAAGAGAAGGGGGTCTGCGTCTTAGGGTTGAGGGGTTGTTGGCAAGGCATTGTGAGTTTGGGTCATGGTCTCTGCGTAAACACGCATGGACTCCCAGGCCTTCTAGGCATGAGCTCACACCTTGCAGACGTAAAATATCTGCGATGCAGCCCATCAGCATGGCAAACATTAGTGAGCAGCTGGCTGCAGCTGCATGGCTATTCGATAATGTTTGGATGAGCACTGGCCTCGGCGACCTCAGCGAGCCCCAGCCCCCCCTCGTCCGGCAAGGCCTCTCATGTTGAGAATTTCCAGAAAGCGGATTTTTGTTGCCTGCCGCTGTAAGTGCAGCAGCTTGGAATATGCAAAAAGAAAGAATATTAGCAGGGCCGTGCTTTTGGAAAAAACGGTACCAGCAAAACAATTGCAAATGCAGAAATACCAGAGTGAGTAGCATAGCTTGCTAGAGGCGTGCATAGATACATGATTACATAAAATACAGACGCATGGACGTATACGTTTTGTATGTGTGTCTTACCTCGTCGTCTATGCCATCTTGCACTATTGAATTTGTTAGCGCTGCAGGACTATATACATTGATTTCTGGTGCCTCAATGTTCGTGTGTTCTAATGAAGTACACACCCACTTCCAAAGCAGGGTTGCAAGTCGAATTTGTACAGAAGGTCGCACGTAATTTGGCACGAGCAATCATCATCTCGACCCTGTAGGTAGGATTCGTACTGGTCCCCATATATCAGACTTCCCCACGGCAAGCGAATGCTTCTTGGGTTGTAGCCCTTGAAGGTTGGGGGCGACGACGTAGCTAGTGGCCAGTTTTGGTTTTGGAGAAACATTCCACATCATGCAGGTACGCCAGCAATATCCTGCAATGATCCAACTTAGATGAAGTTCCAGCAGCGGGCCAGCGATCAAACCAAAGATCTCATTTTGGCACATGCTGCAACCTACGGAGCATCAGGAAATCAGAACCCAAGGACTGCTTACGTGCTGCATCTCCAGGCTTGTTTTTTGGCACTTCACCACTAGAGCCAAGGCCCAACAACCATGAAGCAAATCAGACATCTGTTCAAGGGCACGTACACTCCGCAATTGGCGTCACCAACATTTATTTTGAAGAAGATTGGAGGTCACCTTCCCGAAGCCTGCCTGCATCATGGCGTCCCAGTATTTGGGCTCATCTGACGCAGCCTTGATCTCAGCCAGAAGAGCCTGGCAACTTGTGATTCACCATTGTAGGGGCAGCGTGGGTGACACTTTTCCTAATGAGGCTTGCTTGTAAATCTCTCAACGCAGACCAGCCCCGATAAAAAGATAGGTGACAGGTGTGAGCCTTGAGCTCAACAGCTGAGATCTTCTCTTTGTCTCCACCATACCACAGGTCGAGGACCTTGTCAAACGGTTCAGGATTGCAGGCTCTTGTCCCATCATGCGGCCTATGCAATATCAACTAGGCGTGCTTGGCTGCCGTCGGCTGCCCCACCCCTAAAATGGTACTCCTAATTTTGGGAAACCCCCATGCACGCCCACTTCACAAAGCAAGGCAAACAATTTCCCTTTTGGCAACTGAGGTGTTGACCCCGTCCAAGAAACGGCGCAAACCTCGGAGCGTGTCCTGCGCATGCGCTCCATTCCAGGAATTCTAATACATTATACGATATTATACTTATAATATACTATAGTCTATTGCAATATATTGTAGTATATTATAGCATATTGTAGTATAAATGTAATGTAATTGCCTTTGTTGATGTAGCTTGTAGCAGATATTAACTCTCAAAATATCATGTCTGCACACTCGGCGCAGCAATCACACCATCACAGCAGCGGTCCTATTTTGCCAACGTGCTCTGCTACATAATCACCCTACTACTGTTGTTGAAGCAAAATAGATCAGGAGGCGCAACAAACCCCCAGCAAGCCAGTCCAACGTGGCCATCCCCCAGGTTCAGGAGGCCAAGCTGCACAAGGGCGCGCAGCGCCTGCACGATGTCATGCCACACGTGAACGCAACAGTATTAACAGCCTATTGATAGGAGAACAAGTCACATCCTTGACATGAAAGAGCATTGAAGAACGAACCATTGCAAGTATGCACGCCAAGATTATCGCCGCTGACTGCTCATAGAAGACTGTCACATCAATGTGATGATGGATTTTCGTCTTGGCCATGTTTCTGTCAATTATACTGCGATCCTGCAGTGACGCACAGGCCGCTACAACATTGTGTAATGAAGCATCGGCGGCTGCACTTAAGTTACTTAGGAAGCCGCTATGGCAAAGGGCTTGCGAAAGGATGGCGCATGTTGCGCTGGCTGCTCTTTTTGTCCGAGTTCGCATTTGGCACCTCTCGCCGGTGCCAGATCGTGAAAACACACGCAGTCAGCATTTGGCATTTGGACGTCCACTGAGGGCGCAGAATCGATGAGTTGTGTACTGTACTTGGCACAGGAATCGACATGAATTACCTGGGCTGCGGACGTGACTGCTACAATCAAGCAACACAGTTGGTGGCATGTAGGGAAAGTCCTCACACAAATTCGTAAGAAAGGCATCTTCATGGCCAAGTGTGCAGGCCGTCCGCCCTTGCGTTTCCCTTTAATACATAGGCCCTGACTCTGGGATGCTACGACAATCCCAAAGGCAGGGCGCTGGCACTTGCCGCTCCGATAATGGCTGGACTTGGTGTGCTTAACTTGGCTGTTAAATGTACCTGTGCGAAAAAGCGGAAGGAGCGCGGTTACCGCGGCGGCTTGGGCAAAATCTTCAGGGTTGCACCCGTCTCAGTGTAGAGCTTGTTCACAACCTGAGGCCACACTGAGGGGCACTGAGCCACAGGCTCCGTGCACAGCTCCGAAATCCATGCCACAGGTGCCAAAGTGATCCAAACTCTGCCCAATGCATCCCTGTGGGACAGCTTCTAGAAACCTCACTCCAAGGTTCGACTGTTTCGAAGGGTCCCTGCCACAGTTTTCAGCAAGCCACATCCAAGGTGACCTTCTTCATGTCGCCGGCCGCCACATCTGGGGAGAAGCTAGGGATCATGGCCTCTGCAGTTGGGAGTTGGCACAAACAGCTAGTACCGACCCTGTGGGAGTTAACTGTGCCCATCCTACGCAAAGCGACAAGCCCAGCAGTTCTGAGAAAGATCAAACGTGACAATGGCAGAACACCTTGCTGACATCGCACAGCACAGCTGGCCATCGTCCAGTGATTAATTAATCCCCTTTAAGTAAGCGATCATACTGATCATAATGCTGCGAGCACTGGACCTCTTGAGAACTTTTCATGGAAGCAATGAAAACCTCCATACAATACGCATGAACGAGCATATGAGATCTCACAGGCATTGTCACTTATAGCCAGCATGGAAATTAAAACGCCTACATCCATTCTTACCACCGCTGTGATAGTGCCGCGGCCTTCAGCTTTGGCGCCCACTTCTGGAACTCTGGCTTCCTCAGCTTCTGATGTACCCCAGGACCAGCCCTTTCCCTGAGACGGTAGAAATGGCAAGTTCTCGTCTATAAACACATCGGTCAACAAGCCCCATGCTACGAGCTGTGTAAGCAAACGGTGGCAGCCTTCTTTTAGATGCATGTCCTGCAATAGTAAGCTCCCCGCTTCGCCTTCTACAGCATAAATTGGGACGGACTCTCAACGCTCGAAAAATCACACCAGAAATGGTTATGGATCGGGCCGAGACTTCAGCCCGATGTGGCAAATGGGAGTATTACAGGGATACCCCTATGACGGTACCAGGATCTCGAAGAAAATGAAGTCTTCAACCCTGAAGACTGAGCCATGCTGTTAAGAAACTTAGACTTAGATTAATTCACCACACTAGGTGACCACATTAGTCACTATGTATACCCATTTTGGTAACTGAATTAAGGTTCCTAAACAGGAACCCAGAATATCCCAGAATACGAAGCCATGCTGCTGGGCATTTGGCTAGCAACACAAACTGCTCATTTAATCGTCATCTGAGATAAATTATCGTTGGTTGGCTCGAGTGACTCCAGTGTCTACAATAGGAGCAAGAATCAATTCATTTGGGGATTGGTTGAAACACAGGTGGTCCTTCAATGCCGCTTGCAGGTGTTGGACTTATCTCGAACCTTTCGCCCCCTTGTCAGCACCATGTTGGGGGAGGGAAAAAACTCTGCTCCTTACTTTGCCATGTGCAGGCCCGGGGACTGGTCATCAGCCATGCACCCATGAATGAGCATTTGCAATATTCAAAGCAGAGATAAGCCCTGATCTGCCCGCAGGTGCGAGCTTCCTGCAACCCTCCAAACTGCTTCGGAAATCTCATGTTCTTGCATCTGTGTTTCGAACCGAAGCATTTCTGGATCACATCCAGAGCAATGGAGACACAAGTAGATGCACCTCCACACAAGGAGCCCTGGCAACGTTTTTCTGAACAGCCGGTCTCGAACAATCACTCGGCCACTGCAGCCTGAGTTTAACGACAATCCGTTCAGATGGATCTTAGATCTAGTGTTAGCAAGGAAAGATCTTGTGAGCGCCCAAGCAAGGAGACGATCCCCAACAACGAGAACCAACCTTCAGGGCTCCTAGCACCCCCATTTGTTCCAAGAGCAGTGCTCATGACTAGGTTCAAGGACAAATTGTCATGTAAAGCTGAACAAGGACGTGGGGTGCTCGGCAAGGGGGATTTGGATGATTCGCCTATATGCCTCCCACAAGTCTCCCTTCCCTCTTTTTGGGCCCCAACCCAAAACAGTAACCTTTGAGAAAAAAAACTCCCACATGTATCTTAGAGCCCCGGCCTGGGGATGCACCAAGCAGCCCGACAATGGTGCCTTCCTTGTTGGAAACGACCTGCATTGCACCACAGGCACAGCTGACATGCCCGGCTCGAAAAACGAGCACCTAAACAAACACGGCGCCGGGTACCATACGGTTTGGCCTCTAATGATTTTGGAGTTAAGGCGTCCACGGTTTGGCGGATCTTCTCACAATCCTAGCCTTGATGAACTAAGCCCATCGTTTTAGGATATCCCCCATCCATCGTGTCGATTGTTGGGCAACAATGAGGGCCTAGACTAAATGATGTACACGTTAATTTCGACCGTGACACTATGCCTCTTACGGCGACCTGGGTTTGAGCCAGCAAGCCAACCACTTCCCATTGGTCAGCCTCCGTGCCAAACTGCAGCATGCCCTTGCCAGTCTTGGGGTCTCCTGAGCATGCGCGTCTGACCACAAGCTACCATGCACCTGTACACGCACTCAAGTGAGGCCAAATTGCGAAAAAGGGTCTCTTGATGATTTGGGCACGAACCCCAGCTGGGATGAACACCCAGTCATCCGGATCAGCCTTCGGCCAACCAAACAGCTACATGAGCGCAAATCGAGCATGTCTGCCTTGCCTCTGGATAGTAGTGCCGGATGTCATGAAGCTTGCCGGCGCCGGACTTGAAAACATCCTTCATGAGCATCACGGCCAAGCTCAGGTTTTTTGACAGGGCGCCAATGGTCGGCAAGATGTTGTGGGGCTTCAGCGCCCTGAAGGCATCCAGCACAGAGCCATACCGCAGGAATTTCATGGTCATTGAGCCTCAGCGAGGCTCACAGGTGACACTTGCCAAAACTTACAAACTCCTGCTGTCACGGGGCCAAAAGGCCCGAAGAGCAACATCTCCTACAGCCCAGGAATGCTGGGTATTCCGAGCTCTTGATTTAGGATTTCTGCCAAGACTTTCAAGGCGGCGTCCTTGCCACCAATTGTCCGGTAGTCCAAGTGGGGCATCGACATTGGCGGGGCCCCAGGAGCACCTGGAGCATAGACCTTCACCTGGCGCTCGGGCACGCTTCATGGTCCAACTGGAGTTCTCACGCTTTCGGCAGATTCCCCGCGCATGCTAATTTGTATCCCAGGCCTTGTGCTGAGCAACCACCTCCGGATTCTGACACACCGCCCAGTCACCAGTCACAGGCAAAGCCATGTAGCCGTTGACCTGACCCCACAAAACCATCATCTTGGGTGCTGTGACTGGAACCTGCAACCTGAAAGATCACGAGCTTCACAGTCATCCTTTTGCTCCATGCTGTGCCCATCCTTTGCACTTTGGGCCAGCCTCCGGGATGCCAGCTTTTTGAAGCATCAGCAGAGCCCAGCCACCAGCGCCAACGAAGACAAACTTCGCCTGTGAAGCTTGATTCGGAAAGAGAGGATCAGGAGTCCATCTGTCTCTCCGTGACCACTGACATGCAGAGGCTGTGCGGCTTCCAAGCCTTGTTGTAGGCCCAGCCGGAGCCTGCAGCCAGCAACAGCCAGCAGTCAAGTGGAGAACATGCCCATGCTGCACATCGTCAAGGTCAAGAGTATGATCAGTACGGCGAAGATGGTAACTGTTAAAGACTAACAAGAGGCCGAAAGCTAGCAAGCTTCTCAAACAGCCCCTCGCAAAAGCATTGAACCATAAGCAGCTGGGCTGTTGAACTACAGTTGGGCATCCCACCTCAACACCCAGCAACTTAGCGAAAAATAAATATTGTACTATGGCCTGCGCCATTCACGCAAGTGGTCACCGTCCACTTGCCATCAGAGCCCTTCTTCAGGTCCTTCACCTGATCAGGTGAGACCCGTGCTTCTGCAGGGTTTTCAGAAACTCCAAAGAACACTAGATAAAATCGCCTTGATCCTGTTTTCTAACTCAACCTAGAAGGCTCAACAAAGACGGGTGCCCGTCTGCCTTCTTGAGCGCTGCGCAATCTACGCCAAAGTGTTTGATGATCAGCACTTGTCCGCTGGCAAGACAACACACGCGCCTCAGTGTGCAAGCGGAGGTCACCACCTCAGTCTTGTGCTTTACAACCACAAGAAAAGCGGCGACGGTGATGGATGACACTGTTCAGTCACTGCTCGTTGCATCCGCCCCTAACTTATTCTTGGGATGCTAAAGCCAGAGCAGAATGCATTTCCAACCGGAAGGTGTTTGGCTTGCCAATCTTTGGATTTCCAGGATCCAAGGCCTGCTCTTTCAACAAATAGCAACTAACCAATGCCGCGACACCGAGCTCCTGGAAGGCCACAATCTTTGCCTGCGTGTGGTTCTTTTAGCTAGTACGTGCCGCGAGGTGGGGAAGTATAGAAATACATGCGCAAGTTGCAACAATGCAAGCGTCATAGCTTTCCAAAATGGAAGAGTCACATCATGTCTCAGGATCAGGGACATTTGTTTACGGTCCGAGTCATGTTAGCAAACATACAGTGTACATCGCAAGCAGAATGCCAGTCGGAGGAACAAGAAGTGTCCAAAGACGAAAACGCGGACCTTGGTCAAGGCGCCATAGTCCACATCTGTTCCATGGGGGACCTGTGCAGCTGAGGGGCAAGCTTAGCTAGATTCATCTCAAAGTGGAGTTTGCAAAATTCTGGCCGCGCTACCCAGAAGTCTATGCCATACATTTCTCTGATCAAGTTCCCCGTGTTTTGTGAGACGGCAGCATATCCCTCGAAAGGCCGGCCGTGCTTCAAACGTGGGACCCTGAGCTCCCTTTACCAATACCCGGGCCCTGCCTCATGTGCTGCCAGTGCCGAAGCAAAATCCCACATTCACCAAAACAGACACCGAACCTATACTCACCCGAGAGACACCCGGTGGCATCAACCGCTCGGCAGGCCTTTGTCATGCAAATCGGCTCAGCCGGGTCTCGGCCGTTGACGACCAGCGGGGCCCACTCCTTAGCCTTCGCCTGGCAGCCCGACTTAGACGGTGACGCAAAGCTTGAAAGAACCACTGGCTGCCTTGCTGCAACAATCCTAGATCAGGGTCTACTACTGCATCTAGAAAGCCATGCCTTCTCTTCTGGCAGGCAGATCTCCATGCTCCTGAAGAGCGGGTTGTCCTTCACGCAAAGCGGCAAAGCCCATACCCATAGGACACAATACACCGCTTTGGCCAAAAGTGTCCGAAGGTGAAGTCACGCAAAATTGTGGTCCTTCATGGCTTCGTAGCGTTTCTTTATGAACTCAACCTGATCCTGGCCCACACCAAGCGCGATGTGGTTGGTCTGGTGGATCCAGCTCTCGGGCGCTGGAAGCAGACCCTTGCGGGTGAGGTGCTCCCAGTACTGGCGGCTGCTCAAGAACTGCTCGCACACATGCTCGACTTTATCCTGGGCTGCCACTCAAAGAAAACATGGAGAACTTGCGGTCTGCTCCGACACACTTTGGTCGAGGTTTGCTCACACATGCTAGCATCAAACCCGTAAGGCATCCTGGCATGCTCACACTTTTTCAATGCCTGCTACAATCTTTCGCAAGGGAACCCACTCGACAAAGTGTGTTCGCTGCATGCGCCCATTGAGGGGATAGGCACGCGCAGGCTGAAATACATAACTTCAGTTGCACATGACAGTACGCAGCACCCTGCCCGCCTGCCGCTTGAACCCCTCAAACACTTCTTGCTGCCTTGTCTCGGTGGTGACAGTCTTGAGAGTACCGTCAGCATTCTTCACTTCTTTGGTGTAGTTTGGCTCCATGAAACCTGCGTGCCCAGTGCCTGCCAGGCATGATTGCATAGGAAGCCTGTGTTACCTGAGGTGGACATATGCGTTAGATGCACCACCCACTTCTGAGCCATATCCTCAAGTCCAAATACACTCCAGCTGGCAGCATGAAGGAAAGTGCAAAAACAGGTTGTGAGCTGGTTGTCCGTGTTTCACATTCGGCACAGGATAATTTTGATGCATTTGCAGAAATACCAACCGTTGTCCCTGGCAAATTCATTTAATGACACGTGCTGGAAACGTCTGGCAGACAAGGTCTACCACGTCTACTAGCTTGTGGCCAAGCCGGTTCTGACGAAGGCTTTCTAAATGCTTACATCACTGCACAGCTGCAGCATTAGAGGCTGATGGACTTTCTTCCAACTAGTCTTGACAAAAGACGGGTTGGGGGAGAAGAAGAAACCTCTGCGAGCACTTCCTGCAAAGTGGCCTGCATTGTTGAAACCATTGGAGCTCTCCTCACCCGGTGCGCCCAGGCGCTCGAACATCATCATCTTCCAGTCCGGCTCCAGCTCCTGCAAGACACTGGGCTGCATCTAGAATTTGGGACAAGGCATGGGGATTCCAGGCAGTGCTCCTTCAGCATGACGCCCACGGTCGCGCTCATGACCCCGGCGCCGATGAGAATGACATCCACCTGGCCGTGGAAGGGGTGCTCTTTCAGCAAAGCTCGAAGCATCAGCACTTCTGTTGTCAGTAGTATCAGTAGTTTTTGTGAGCCCGGCCTCGCGCTCCTTGGGCTTCGGCCATGAAAGGCAAGCAAAGCAGCTGGAAGGAGGCGATGTCTTGGGCTTGGCCACACGCATGGAGCTGCCCTTGAACCTCCTGGGCTTGTCTAGCTGCTTACGAGGGAATGAGGCAATCCCCATGATCATGGGTCATCCCAATCCTTCCCCTCACTCCCCGCTTAGCACTGAGGCGCTTTGGTTCAGCGTATGCTTAGTGGATTGCCGCTGTTGCATGTTAGGTGGTCCAGCTACCAATGCTGGTGTAGCTGAGGTGGTCTAAGCGCAGGGAAAATGCAATCAAGCATCCCATCCAGCTTGTTGAAGCTGTCTTCGGCCGGGGCGCTGAGCTGCATCTTTTGGGACATGGCCGGAACGAAGGGAACGGAAATGAGGGGACACCTTCCGGGAAAAGAAGTTCAGTGCCCTCCTGGTGGGAGCCAAACCGCATAAAGATCGGCATTCAACACAGCAAGTCTGAGAGGAGGAGACGGGTGGGCCAGGCCTTAGGTCTTTTGAGATTGCTTTTTTTGTTATCTTTGAGTGTGAGCCATCTAAATCAGCTCTGCGAGGGAGCCAGCCACAGAACAGCTTTTGTTTTTTCTCGGCGGGCTTCACTTTCCAAGTCTGAAGACTTGTGAAGAATCTTGAAGACATGCAGTTGGCCCTGTCCTTCAGGAGAGGTCTGAAGAGTGATGTGAGAGATAACGCGGCCAGTTAACGGCCCAATGAATCTCCACGGCTGCGCGAGGTCCCAGCTAACCACTGGGGGGAGCTTGTTCATTTGAAGCACCTCCTGCGCCTTGCGCAGGAGAAAGCGCCTTTTGGCGGCGTCCGCCCCCTTTGCACGTCTGTGCAAGTGAATGGCTGTCAAATGTATTGTAACAGCGTTTTGCACCTCCCTCAAGCTACATGTAATTGTTGCCTTGCGTGTAATTTGAATGAAGCTGCTCAGTTGGCACCGCACCCCGCGCGGTCGGAGACAGAGGAGGAGCATGCACGCTTCGGACTAGTGGCTAGTGAAGCGTGACGCTCGAGCGCCTTGGTACCATTGCCACCAAACATCTTAGAGACTTGCCTCTTGCGGCGGTGAGTGGGAAGGCCAAAGGCTTGAATGACTATTGATTATTGATGAGCTCTGATTGGCGCCAGGGCGCTGAATAAGACCCACATCCAACACAAGCCTAGAAAAGCAGCGACAGGTCCCGGAGGAAGCTGGCTGCCAGGCTTCTATGCTGACCATCGGGTGGGCGGCAGAGTTGTAAACAACAACTGAGCCACCTCGACTACTTTGGTCAGCTGTGCATCATCAATTCACTGAAATGGTCCTCTGCAAGCCCTGCTGCACCAAATTGGTCCAAACCATAGCTCATATTCACAAACCTTTCAGCTTGCCGAGGTCCAGGGAACAAAAGCGAATCAATCCCAAAAGCCGCGAAAGGAGTCGTGGGACTCCTCGCTAGAAAAAAGCCCTCACTCCAATTGAAACCTGACCCATCATTGCTCAGATCACGCTTGGGATAGCCTTGGGCGGAGCAAATCTGAGCTTGTGCTGCTCTCGAAGACGCGTCGCAACAAATATCAGGCGGTGTTCTTTCAAATGCTTGTGACGGATACGCTTGCAGATGTGCACCATGCATGCAACAATAAAACAACGTGTGATGCCAGGAGGCTGGAAAAATTCGATGCTCCACCTTGGTGAATCCATGAGGGCCGATGCATGCGTCGCACTTTTGCCGTTCACTGATGCAAGGAAACGGAAATCTTATCCTCTTATGCTGGCCGCACAAGTCTGCAAACAGAGCTGAAGACATTCAAGGGCGAGCAACGGATTCTGCTTCCCTCGCAGCTGAAGCTTCTGCCATGACCTTTGCTTCGCACCAAATATCGTAGGCAATGATGATAGGGCATCTCGGGGGTGAGAGAGCGGGCCCTGCAAAGATTTGAGGGGTTGGCAGCGTTGTCTCGGGCTGTCCGGCAGACTTCAAGTTTGAGGCAAGCAGCGGCTTCCAGAGGGTATTTGCCGCTCGCAGCCTGCAGGTCAGAATCAAGACTTGACGTGCTCCAGGCGGGGTGCTCCAGGCGGGCCCCATATCCAAAACAGCAGCTTGTCAGGCCATATCACTTTTGGGCAAGATCATGCTCAACACCATGTCCAGCGCTGTTTCTCTTTTGTTGGGCTCTTTACAAGGGGCATCGGTGGCCTTTGTCCTAAGCTTGGACGTTCCCCCAAAGGTGACAGCGTGATGATGATTTTACACAGCTAAATCACATTCAACAAGAGTCCAGTGAGCGCTCTGGCGCGAGAGGACATCCGTAGAATGCCTGATGATACCCATTAAGCTATTGAATTATCATTAATGCAATTAATTGACCTTTGCAAATGCGGATGGCAAGGGCAGGACCCTTCAAAACATCAATGTGCAAATCCGGTCTGCATCTAGGCTTGCTTCTTGATTTCAAAACACACTCACACACAAACAAGCACAAACACACAGGCGCAAAATGAGCCATTTCCATGCTTCTATGAGGAAAGACTGGTCGTTACCCTGAAGCTGGCCAGGATTGTTATAATGAAAAATCAATGGACTGTTACCGGATTCTATTTCCTCCAAAGGCTCCTCGTCTCCTCCTCGCCCTTTCCAACTCCTCCTACTACAAGTACTTTTACTTTTTCTTCTTCTGCTACGGCTACCGCTGCTGCTCCTGCTGACTGCTGCTACTACTACAGCCGGTACGCCGACGACAATGACGACTACTAATGTGGCACCCGATTTAGTGGAGGGGTTCGGATTAATGAAAAGTTTTCGGGAAATTATTCA